CTTTGCAGCTACCCTCTGTTTAGCTCTTTGGACTCTATCTGCTGCAAGTGTTCCCTTAAAGTAATGGGAGCATTAGTTTTCCTGTTACGGAGATAAAAAGAGAGGACCTGATAGCAGTTTTCAAATATTTGAAAGGCTTCCATAAAAAAGGGAGAAGAACAGTTCTTGCTTGTTACAGAGGGCAGAACACTAAGCAATGGGTTTCAACTGCAGCAAGGCAGATTTAACTTCAGATTAAATCTTCAGAAAACTTTCAAGCTGTATAAGACTGGATATAAGAAACAACTTCTTCACAGTTTGTGTGACCATGCTCTGGAATAGACTCCCAGGAGGGGCAGTGCAGGCTCCTACCCTGGAGATCTTCAGAAGGAGACTGGACGCACACCTTGCTGGAGTTATTTAACCCCAGCAGTCTTTCCTGCCCAGGGCAGGGGAGGGGTGGGGTGGACCCAATGATCTCACAAGGTCCCTTCCAGCCCTAAACTTCTGTGAATCTGTGAACAGTATGACAATGAAAAATGCTGCTTAGGGAAGTTGTGGAGTCTCTTTAAATTGGAGGCTGTCAAGAAGAGGCTGGATAGGCATTACTTACTTGAATCCAAGACAAGCTTTTTTTTTTCTCCAGTTACCATGGGGAAGAAAAGCCTCATTTTAGATTTGAGTATTGGCTTGAGGCTGGTTATAGCTCAGCCCTGGCTTTGGCCATGGGCTCAGGGATAAAACCACAGCTGAGATGCTGCCTGCCCCAGGCTGGAGAGAGGGAGTAGTCTGGGCACACGTCAGAGACCTGCAGTAAGGAGTTGGGGGAGAACATGCAGCCTGCTTGTTCTCCCTTCCCCCCTGCAACCCCAATTGGCACCTTGGCCTTCCCTCCACCCTCCTTACTTGCCTTCAGCTCTAGCTCTGGCTCCAACCCCTCTGGGCTTTTCCTGGAACAGGCCAGGGCTGGGTCTGCCACTGTTGCCAGTTGACCTGGAGCCACCCAAAAGGTAAATAAGAGGAGAAAACAGGGGATAGGGGAGGGCTGGCTGGCAGCAGGGTCACTGGTTAGGAGGGGCATGTGGCAGGGTGGACAGGCAGCAGAGGGCAGGCACAGACACTAGGGGCAAAGGGTGGCGGGGGGAGGCAAGGTTTGGGGAGTGTATTCCCACCCACCCTCACTGTTGCTTTAGGCAAATTAATGGAAGTTGACCCCCCAATAATTAAATTATATACATGGAAACATATAACAGATTTATAAATATTCCACACACAGAATGTAATTATTGAGGGGTCATCTTAAATCCAAAGTTGTCTTGGATTTGGGTAAATACAGAAAAAATAGGACTTTCAGTATCTGTGAAAGGGGTTGGTGGATGTAATCCCTGATATCCCTTCCAACTCTACAATATGATTTTCAGTGCCATTTGATTCAGTGAGGAACAGACTGCATACATAGTCCTTTTTTGTTGTTTTGGATCTGATAACAAGTTTACCATGCAGACATCTTGTTATCTCCTTTAGAAAATCAGTAAGAAGAAAAAGAATAAGATTTTTCTTCTGTTTCTTTCAAGTATTATATCCTCAAGAATTAATAAAATTCAATAAATATTGAAAAACAAATGCTAGTTGTAATTAATTTACGGACATAAGTCTTTCTGAAAAGGAAACATGATTTTTTCCTCTTTTAATATTACAAATGGTTCTTAGTTGATTAGAAGTATTGCCAGGGGAATGTAACAACTGCTTAGCTGCCAACAGATTCTTCTAGTCCTAACTGCTTGCCTACAGAAAGTAGGCTGATTAGGCTGCACTACTGGTTAAGCATTTGGAGTTGAAAGCAGGAAATGTCCTTGAATCCTGAAATACCATTGCTTTACTTGAGTATATTTGTTTTTGCTATAATTTAATTCCACATCATGTGGCAGGCATGGGAGACGCACCTGTGTATATACAACACATATACTCCATATATTTGCTTGCTCTGCTTATTTTGAGCTTTAGAAGAATGCATTTTCACCCTCTAATAAAAATACCTGCATGTTCCTTTTTTAAAAAAATTCCAGGGCTTACATTTACAGAATTTTTTTTTAAGTTTAAAAAGTTATTAGAAAAGAGCACTTGCCTCATAAGTCCGTATTTCTTGTCACTGTACTTTACTTCCTGTTTGTGTAGATCAGGCCAAAATTATCCATGCTAAGGTAAATTCTCTTTAACTTAATAGGAGGTGTGTTTCACTGAGTATGGCAGGTTTGGCTCATAGCAAGTAGCTCATGTTAATAACTTCAAAATAGAGAGTTGAAAAAGTCCTTAGAGCAGGAATGGGCAGTTATTTCGGCTGGAGGGCTGCTTAATGAGTTCTGATGAGCTGTGGGGTTGTGGAAGAGGTGTTTGTGCGTGCGTGTGTGCAGGGCATGGGGGGTGGTTGTAGGTGTGTGGGATGATGTGAGGGAGGGCTCATGGCCCATGCAGGCAGAGTCCCACAGCAGCACACAGCTCTGGCCATTTCTGGGAGCTTCATGCGTTGGCAAGGAGCTGGGCCAGGCCACCCTGCATCTCAAGTGCAGCTGCCAGGACCTGGCCAGAACTGCACATTACAAGCAAGGAACCCCACGTGATGAAGCCAGCAGCCTGGCTCCACTCCCTGCCATCACGTGCAGCTCCTGAGACATTGCTGGGAAGCAGGGCTCCCTGCTGCACTTCTGGCAGAGGTGGAGTCCCAGGAGCTGAACATTGCAGCAAGAAGCAGCAAATGCCGCCAGCTTGATCATGCAGGACTTCCCCCTGGTGGCATGTGAACCTTGGGAGCTATACGTTTGCCACAGAGAACCCCATGTGACAGAACCAGACCAACCTGAGCTCTGTGCTCTGGCCACCTTGATGGGTGTGGGCCCCAGGCTCCACATTCCTGCCCAGTTGTAGCTTTTCCCTGCCCCCCAGTGCTTCTTGGAACATTGCAGCAAGGACATGAGGAGAAGCCAGGGGAGCCAAGCAGTTTCTCCGGCAGCAGCAGCAGTGGCCCTGCCTGGAAGCTGTGTGCTGCCTGGGGCCGGGATTGGGATGCTCTCCCACATGAGTGTGGGAGCACAGTGTGCTGCCCAGGTGGCTGTGGGCCTCATACAAATGCAGCAAGAACAGCTGTGGGCCAGGCAGGGTACAATTAATTGGTGGGCGCTTGCTCATGGGCCAGATTAAATTGCCTGGCAGGCCAGATTCAGCCCACAGGCCATATTTTGCCCACCTCTGCCTTAGATCATTCTTTAAGTGATTAAGGGCACCTCTAGACATGCAGGTAAATCACAATAGGATCTGATGCATAATCCACATGTCGTCTGCTTCTTGCCATGCCACACATGCATGGCAGGAAGCATGACTAGGATCATGAATTAGATCCTATCAAACCTCATTTCTGGTGCAAGGGGAACCCAGGATCATGATCCCAGGCTCCCCCTGCACCAGCAAGTAGAAGCTCACATGATTGGAGCCCCCTCAGTTGATGGGGCTCCCAGACATGAGGGTATGCTAGGCATCCCTGCAGCTGGAAAGCAGCAGCTGATGCGATCCACACATCCGTGTGGCTGGGACACTACGTCAACTGTGGTCTCCTAAATATGGGGGTGCCTGAAGCACCCCTGTAGCTGGGAGCCCTGTCAGCTGATGGGGCATTCAGCCACAGGGGCATGTGCTCCCATGACTGGGAGCTCCTAGATTCAGGTGTACGTAGGCCTTTCCCAGCTGGAAGCTCTAATCAGCAGATAGTACTCCCAGCCACAGGGCCCCCAGCCATCCATTCAATTAATTGCACAATAGAAAGCAGCTACAAAGTTATTAAACACATTTTGTGGAATTACTTTGTAGCTTATTCCTCATTTTTTGTCTCGCCATTAATTGATTGAACATGTGGCTGATTAATCACTTCAGACGTGATTAACTGGTTAGTCATGCTTTAAGTATAATATGTAGATGGGGCCTAAGAGGAGACATAGAAAAGCTTTTGGTTATAACTGTATAGTTAATCCAGTAACAAAAATCCTTGTCTCACATTTTCCCTGAACCATAGCTATTTCCCATTATTAGTTATAGACCTATCCTTGCTTTTCATTATTTTAGTTTTGCAAACAACAAATCTTGCAAGATCTATGAGATAGGGAAGAATTAATATTACCACTTTTAGCAATGAGGAAATGGGCACAAAAAAATTATGTGGCTTGCCCAAGATCACACAGAAAATCCATGGCAGAACTGATCATACAACTTTAATGTCCTATGTTTTTAGGGCATGTCTAGACTGCCTCCAGATCATGCTATGGATTGGCTCAGTGAAGTAGAGTGCATCTCTTCTGTTTGCACTAAACTCCTAATTGATGTAATGTCTCTGCCTGAGTACAGAGCTAAACATGTACCAATAATTACCTAACACAGAGAAGTTTTTTCATGTGTTACCAGGGCTGCTCTGAGGTGGATAGATTACCTCTCAGATGAATTTAGCATGCACAGAGCAGCCGTGCCTTGCTTCACAGTGGTACTCTATAATATGGTCTAGAGATGTTGCAGACATGGCTTAACCGTAAATTATCCTTCCCTCAAGTCCTAAGTCAATAGTGCAACTATGAGCTTGAAGAGTAAGTGTCAGATGCCCAACTGGTCTAAACCAGCATCACACCATAACTGGCTTTTATCAATACCTGAAAGGTCTCAAGTGGTAGAATTTTTATTTTCCTTCAAAAGAAACTTGGCAGAAAACTGCAAAAGCATAGCTTTCCCATTTTCTGCAAATACCTATTAACTTATAGTTCAATGGCACTGTCATTCATTGTGTTTGGAATTCATCAACCTCAAACGTTTCCTCTCTAGATGGTAAGAGTTGAGAGCACAACAGAGATTCATCATACCACTAATATTACATAATTGAAAACAATATTTAATTACCTTGACCAGAAGTTGTTTCAACTATAGAAATTCACCATTTCAAATTCATTGTGTAAGAGTCTAAGAGTCTGCATACTTGTTTTCTGTTTTAGATCTGCCCTGATGACTGTAGAACATGGGGAATGTGATATTTGTATTCATGTGGTGTCAGAGTTGATGGAAAAAATCTTCCTCAATGTTCCTGCAGACTGGCTGAACAGACTCATAGGTACTGTTCCATAAGTTATTTGCTAGTAGAACTATTAAGTACAGAACAAAAAATTGCAAACCATAACAAACATAGTTACTGACCACACACCAGAGGCAGACTGCTGGATGAGACAGGCCATTGGGATCGGTACAGTGTATCTTATGTTTTATATCACATATTTTTAATCTTTAAAACAATTTATTTCATAGTGACCTTGGGAGATGCTTATACCTAATTCCCAGACTTCAGAAATTATTACTCTGAAGTTAAGTTGCTAAATATCGGTCAGTTATTTAAAACTTGGGTCTGTTTAAAATATTTGTGCGCCTCTCCTTTCAGAATTCCCCTGAGGTGGCAGAACTTAGCCTTTCTGTCAGCAGAATAACACTGTCTGCAACTAGAAGACAGCCACTACTTGATAAAAGATGTGTAGATATGCCTGCATCTTCTGACTGCTGTGGTCATTTCAACATCTGGTGCCTTCCCATAGTTCACTTCACTCCTGCCAGCACAGCTGGCAAGCTGTGGAGCCATGCTGACATGAATGCTCTCTGGTGGTGTCCCAGTTGTGACTTTTTGCTGGCAAAAGTTCCAGTGGTATAAGCAGCCTTGTGTCAACAAGGCCTTAACATGAGCTTTTGTTTTGTTTACAGCAGGGCTGTCTAACTGGCTGCCTGTGGGGGGTGCATGTGGCCCATGAGGAGTTAACATATGTTCCCTGAGTAAATTCAGGGACCTAAGGAATTGTAGTTCATCACATAAATAAAGATGTTGCCAAAAAAGAGTGTGTTCAAACCTCTTCCAAAGAAGGATATATGTGTTTTTTAATTACTAGCTAGTTTCCTAACTTTGTTATTCATTCAGTGCTTTTTTCTATTTCTGTTTTAACCTGGAGTACCACAGTGACAAGACTGAACAGATTGGACTGTAAAATGGCAGCTCTTTGGGGGTGGAAGGGAGACTTAACTATTAGTTGCATGACAGCAAAGAACTGGTTGGTTCTCTGTCTTTTGCAGGGCCCTCTTCAGACACAACCTATGCCATGATAGTAGCAGATCTATGCCACTCACTGCTAGCAGACACCAAAGCATCCTATTTGTTGGAAATTAGAAGCCATTTTGTGCTGGATGAAAACAGCTATCCTTTGCAACAAGATTTTCATCTGCTGGATTTTCATCCTGAAATCTGGAGCACTGACCTCTGCAGTTAACAGAGATCATATGAGCAAGCCGATAGCAAGCTAAAGAAGACAAATAAATTAGCCCATGAGAGTAAGTTTTTTAAAAGTATAAAATTGTTTTACGTTTAATTTATACAAAAATCTAAATATGGAAATTTGTTATTTATATATACTGCTTCTGTAGTATTTAATGAATTGTCATGTGGTATACTTTTATACAACAATTTTGCTTTTATTTTCATTAAAGAGGATTTTCCCCATTGATTGCTCCTCCTCTTTTCATCATGTAGCAGCTAAACTTAAACCACTACATAATGCAGCCATCTGATTATTAAGCTACATTAGCAGGAGCACATGGTATCAATGTTCTCTAATCTGCACAGCTTCTTACAATAACCCGCAGACATTGACCTTAGGATATACTACACAGTCAGTATAGCCATTGATTGTTACAGAGGGGAAAGAGGGAAAGAAAAGTGTAAAGGAACAGAGAATGGTTAGAAGAGGAGAGGTCTATAGCAGTTTTTGTCCATCTGAAACATTTATGTATATCTGCATGTATATCATTCAGTCCCTATAATGTTATGTAGAATCATTAAATGGCAAATCTCACATAGTCACAGTACTTGTTATTTTGTATAAGCAGCACTGAGAAAGAAAGGAAGCAGCATTAGCGCAATGCATTATTTTTATTGTGTGTTATATACGGTTTATTGAGACAGAAATGGATGCGCTGTCAACCTGACAAGTACAAGCAAAGGACCAAAAATCCCTTGTTTTCTAGCTTTAGTAACATTTAAATGAACATTAGTAGTACGTTATTAATTGAAGCTACACATGGTCTAGTAACACCAACATGATTGACACACAGTTTCATAGATGTTAGGGGCTGGAAGGAACTTTACAGATCATCGAGTCCAGCCCCCCTGCACTTGTGCAGGAAACATGATTTATTGTTCACCTTTATCAGATAAGTTGTTGTCTTTTATCTTAAAGGTGCCACACTGTAAAAACAATGGTCACTACAATTGCATTGTTACATTAATTTAGTTAGCACACATTTAGATATCGTTTTGCTTCCCAAACCAGGCAAACTGTCTAAATAATAAACTGTTTTAAACAGTTTTGAGGAGTAAAGTGGGAAAACCAGATCTATGACACATTTTTGTTACTTGATAGCTCTGATTCAAGGGAAAGTGTATACATTTCTCTTGGGAGACCAGATTTGAACATACTGTACCTATTGCCCATCTCAGAGGTATTCCAACACACAGTACCTTTTGCAAACAGGAGCAGTTTTTTCAAAAGAAAAAGTGCTTTAGTTTCTCAGGAGATGCTTTGCTTAAGTTATTAAGCTAATTAATGGTGCATCCTGTTTGAAAGGAAGCCTGTTTTATATCTACTATAAAAATTACAATACTGATTGGAACATAAAGTACTAAATGATTCATTAAAAGGAAGTTAGTTGATCTGATTTATAATTGTTTTGGGTGTGAAATGTCCTAGGTTCAAGCTCTGGATGAGCAGTCAAGGAGGGAAGAGGATGTCCTGTTTATTTTACACTGATTAAAAATAATTGTTCCATCTTACTTTTCCACTAAAACTATTTCATTCATCAGAGTTCAAGCTGGAAAGAGATTTTAATATGAGAATTTTAGCCAACATTTTCAGTACGTTCTCCTTTGTCTTTCAGTTTCACCAGAAAGTCAATGTTTTAATTTGGGCCAGTTGGAGACATTCAGCTAAACTGTTGAGATAAGTACAGTTATCTTGAGATACACATAACTGTGCTAATGGTTGTTCTGAATATTATCATACTCCCTCCCATTCAAATTTACAGTATAGTCATTCTAAGTAACATAGTATTTGCATTACATACAGTATTCAGCCAACATAGTTTAGGCCCAATTGATTAGTGTGTTACTCCAATTTAGTACCAAAGTACCTATACTAATTTTGTGTGTTATAGGAGGACTGTGTCCTTTGACTACCATGCAGAGGGACCAGTTTCTTAATTAGGTGCTACAGCAAGAGCGTGCCATCGTTTAACCAGCTCCTTAGGCTTGCTGGTCATTTCATTCCAGTGTTCCAGCTCTCTGCCCCTAGCATACATATAGGGCCAACCACTACACGTCCTAGTTGGTGGCTTTCTGAATAGAAAAAGAAAGGGTGGTTAGTAACCAGCACCTGTCTAATGCTCTGATTAGATCTTTACCTAAGATCAGAATATTAGCATTTATTTTACTAACTTTTAAAAAAAAAGTATTTTCAGTCGAGGAGTGTGCTGTTAGGATACCTACAGATGTTCAGGGCCCCACTCTAACACCTGGCGCTTTACATAAAGTGGCATGAGTTAGAGGCCCCCCACTTCCCCAACGCAACAGGCAGACATCCTCCCCACTCCCCTTCCATAGTTTCATAGTTTCTAGGGTCGGAAGGGACCTGAGCAGATCATCTAGTCCGACCCCCTGCCATGGCAGGAAAGAGCACTGGGGTCAAATGACCCCAGTAAGTTGGTCATCCAACCTCCTCTTAAAAACCCCCAGGGTGGGAGCCTGCACCACCTCACTTGGAAGCTGGTTCCAGACTCTAGCCGCCCTGACCGTGAAGTAGCACCTCCTGATGTCCAACTTAAACCTTCCCTCCACCAGCTTGTGACCATTGTTCCTGGTCACTCCTTGCGGCGCTCAGGGGAACAGGGACTCCCCCAGCGCCTGCTGATCCCCCCTAACCAGTTTATAACAGGCCACAAGATCCCCCCTCAGCCTTCTCTTTTGAAGGCTGAACAGGTTCAGGTCCCGCAACCTTTCCTCATAGGACCTACCCTGCTGTCCCTTGATCATACGAGTGGCCCTCCTCTGGACCCTCTCGATGCTGTCCACATCCCTCTTAAAGTGCGGCGCCCAGAACTGGACGCAGTACTCCAGCTGCGGCCTGACCAGTGCCGCATAGAGGGGGAGGATCACCTCCTTGGACCTGCTCGAGATGCATCTGTGGATGCACGACAAGGTGCAGTTGGCCTTCCTAGCCGCCTCCCCACATTGCCGACTCATGTTCATCTTGGAGTCAATAATGACTCCCAGATCCTTTTCCACCTCCGTGCTGACAAGAGGGGAGTTCCCCAGCCTGTATGTGTGGTGCCGATTGTTCCTCCCCAGGTGCATCACCTTACACTTGTCCGTGTTAAACCCCATCCTATTCTCCTCCGCCCATCCTTGTAACCTATCTAGGTCTAACTGTAGCCTGTTGCTCCCCTCAATTGTGCCCACATCCCCCCACATCTTAGTGTCATCAGCAAACTTGAACAGGGTGCTTTGCACCCCCTCGTCCAAATCACTGATGAAGATATTGAACAGTGCAGGCCCAAGGACCGAGCCCTGTGGGACCCCACTTCCCACGTCCTTCCAGGTCGAAGGACCCATCCACTACCACCCTCTGGGTGCGACTCTCTAACCAGTTGGCGACCCATTGGACTGTATGGCATCTCTGGTCATTTAGAGCAGCTGGCAGCTCTATGCTGCTGCTATCAAGAGGCCCAGGTCAGGGTGGAGGAAGGGAGCCCCTGCCATGCGGGCCCACCCTGGCTCCCCCCAGTACCCCATATGGCGAGAGTCTGTGAGGCAAGGGGTCTCCCTTCCACCTTGCCCCTACACCCCTCAGCTCTGGTCATTCAGAGCAGCAGGCAGCTCTGGGCTAACAGCCATGGAGGCACAAGCAGCAGCCCAGTCCTCCCCCACACAAAAAGTTAACCCTGGAGGGAACATGTTCCCTATGGCACTCTGCTTTAGAGTGCCTTAATCTAATACCTTATTTTTGTAGGGACCTACCAAAATCACAGTGGAAGTGCACTGCCCAGCAGCTCCTTTAATCTTGCAGTTTTCCCCATGTGCCCCCACACACTGATTCATGGAGGGGCCCTGCCACTCACTCCTTACCAGCAGGGAAGCTTAAACTGCAGTTTTAAATATGGCGCTGTTTTTACCTCCCAGACTCAGCGGCAAGCAGCAGGGGAACTCAGTGATGGGAGGCAAAAACCATACTGTGGTTCTCGCCTCCCTGCCAGTCAAGAGCAAGCAATGGGGAAAGTCATGGGGGAAACTGCAAGATTAAGGGAGCCACTGTGCACACTTCTGCCATGATTTCAGTAGGTACTTACTCATTTGACCAGGGTTAATTTTTCACACAATCAGCCATTTTAAAAAAGCTGTGCAGCCATGCATATATGTTGTCACATGTGTAGAGAGTTTCAAGGGTCCTATTGTGAAAAAAATGTAACTTGTGTAAGAACCCTGTATCTTGAGCTATAGTACTCTTCCAGTATGCTCCAATCTTGTATACATATATTTTAATTCCAGTCCTCACACCTCAAGAGTTACTTCAAAATGTATCCTGCTTTGGTCAGTCGCAAACTGGCTGAGACTTGGAGGTGAAAGGCTCTTTATAGGAAAGAAGACTACTCAGTTACTGCAGTACCAAATCAGAGGTTGGAAGTTATGGATTCTGTTTCCAGCTCTGGACCATTGACTCAGTCTGAAACTGAGAAAATCATTTAACTTTTCCATGCCTCAATTCTTCATCTGTAAAATGGGGTTAGTAATTTGCACCCATCATAACTGGATTTATTTTTAGGTATGTAAAGCATTTTGAGATACTTGCATGAAAATTGCTATGGATTTGTGTGTTGATTCTAATACAGATGATATCACTAATTCCAGAGCCAGATCACTATGTAACTTTTGGCAAGATTTTACACTTGAATCCTGTGAAAATTGAATCTTGGCACTTGAATCTGAATTGTGAAAGTTATTTCTGTTTCAGTACTAAGGCCATGTTTAGATTTGAGAAAAAGGATAATACCCAGATAATATATGGATGCTTCCTAGGTCACAACATTTCTGTTGCTGACCTGTAGTTTAATTTCAAAGAGATGTATATACCCACAGTCTGTCTTCTGTCTAGATTATTCTAAATATTACTATAAATCAAGACAGAAGTCAGACTGTGGGTATATACATCTCTTTGAAAGAGTTAATTTCAAAGAGATGTATATTTCGCATTGTCATCAGAATATAACAAGCAAGGAACCAGTGGTTCTTAACCTTGTTAGACTCAAGGCACCTGTGAGAAAATGCCAGCTCTTAACTTTCACTCACTTCTTGACTACAGAAGAATAGAGCAAATCTTCTGTTGCCCAGGACTCAGAAAGACCATAATAGGTCATAATGTTTTTGACACTATGGATTCCTATTTGAAATCTCTGGGTTTTTCTTGTCAATGTGTAAGTGTAGGTGCTAATATTGAGTGGCTCCATGCTGCACCCTAAAATGAATCTTGTGGCACCCCAGGGTGCCATAGCATCCTGGTTGAGAATCACTATTTAAACATACCTGGTCTCTGAAAGATGTGCAAGTAACACACTAAGGCAGACTAGTGCAAATCTCTAAAATTACTGTTTCCCACTGCAGGTTCATTCATAAGTATGAATACTCTTTTGCTAAAGAAAAAATATATGTAATATTTTAAAACAATGTTATTAGCTTTTCTGAACCCTTTTCTAGTGGCTTAGCCATCTAAGCAGCAGCTTCTGAAATACCCAACTTTCCTATTAATAAGTACCATCGTGCTTCTTTCAGTTTAGAATTATCCAGAGTAGACTTATGCCAGTGTACAAGAGCCTAACAAGCTTTAGGACATCTCAGGTACAGTAAATTGTATTGCTTACTGTCATCCTCAGCTTTCTGAAGCACAGACAGGCTCAGGCTTGCTGTATCCAGCTCTTTCTGGTCTGTCTTGAAGCTGAAGGATTCATTATATACTGGATTGGGGGATCCTAGAACAGCTGCTGTCTTTTTACACTTGATGAATTTATTGTGGTTCATCAGTGCCACTTTGACATGCACACCTGCAGTGAAACAAGATTAAAAAAAGAAAGCAACAACATGTCAAGAGCACTGAGAAGAAAAGTACAAAGATAACTGAAAGCAATTCCATGCTTTCAGATGCTGTGTATCATAAAAAGGTTAATGAAGGCTTATAAAATACAGGATGGTAAGAAAATACAATGATGCTATCTAGTGAAAACACTTTAGGTTCCCATCAAGGAAAGTGGCATTACATTCAAGACAGAGATTTATGATGTCACTGACTTCTTGCCCTTCATCTCGGCACATTGGAAAGGAAGTTTGTAGAAGATACTGGCACCTGGCAAATAAAAAGTTGTGTAGTGTCTGTTTAAATTTTTTGTCTTTCAGAGACTTCGCAAAAAGGAAAAAAAGAGAGGGGGAGGATAGAAACATAATGTCTTCCGTTGCTTCCTGATCTATACCATCCCCACTCTTCATTGTTGTTCAGCTTATGTCTGAATCTGCTAAAGTCTGAAGTGGTCTGGATATTTTCCGTTTCCCCCCAGTTTCAATATTCACTAGAAAATACATAAGAACTTTCCTCTTGCTGACTATACAGCTGTCTTTTCCCTAAAAGCAATACAAGCTCCCCTGCTGCTGCTCTACTTGCTACTCCCTGTTCCTCAGTTCATTAATGCAGAAGTTTAGCAGTACTATAATTTGACTGTTAAGTTGCAGTTGACTGTTAAGTTGACTAGAAATGTCAGGAGTGATCCCACAACTGGCAATGGGAGAATAAAAAGATCTTTATCTTTTCTAGTATCCTATCTTTGACCAATATCAAACGTTTAAGAGGAACATGCAAGAACTCCTCGGTAGACAGAGATGGAATAAAACTCTGGTTTTATACAGATCTAATACTAGTCTCTAACAATCAGACATGTGCTCCAGGGCTTAAACCAAAGATCAGGTGGCCCTTCTAAAAAGTTATACTTGGTTATAACAATAGTAGATTGCATGATTTCCATATAAATAGTTAATCCTTTTTTGGATCCTATTAATTTAGTTTTGATGTGATATAATCCTCTACCACAATAAAAAGAAAAATTCCTGGGTGCAATAGTAACTTATTCTTGTAACTAGAGAATCAGTTTTGGAAGTAACACTTGGTAGTTAAAGCAGAAACACTAGGTTTGGTGCATTTGCTTTTCATGTGTTGCAACTAAATTCATCTCACTTCTCAGATTATATGGTTTTTAATCTCATTCAATTCAATGAAAGTTATTGGTCCAAACAGGAGTTTGGAGGTTAACATTCTACTTCTACATCCCATTCACAGACATTACACATCTTAGTATTCAGCAGTTTACATTCAAGAGAGACTGAGTTTAGCAGGCTCTGTCAAGTCATCACACTTATTTTTAAAAACACTAAATTCACTCTCTAGCTTTATTCAATCAGTAAATACCCCTTTATTGATCTGTATCTTACAACAGACTACCATAGAGCTTGCTTCAAATATCACCCATACAAGGAAACATAGTGTAGTAAACACAAGAGACTTCTCACATAGGTTTTCTTTAGCATCTGCAAGAGAGTCAGCAATCACCAAGTCAGCTGTACTAAAAAAGCATTACCAAAGGAAATAAGGGGTGATTGATTTAATTTATTAAGTATTAAGCATTTAGCCTGGGGAACTGTTTGTTGACCATTCTTCCTTCCTTCCTCCTGGAGAGTGTCATGCCTTCCATCTGTGTACTGATGGTTACTATAATAACCTGCAAGACTGTGGCATCAGATTAACACAGCAGCTTTGTGGCATGTGTATTGAAAGAAACAAAGTGAATTTAGCTCTTGCTGTTGAAAAATTTCAAAGTTTCACTTAGAAGAAAGATCAAGTATAAAAAGCATTCTCCTCTGAGTCATAAAGGTAATGACAATGAAGAATTGTCCATGTTTAAGCTTTTCCATTCTTAGGATGTTTCACCTACATCATTTGTAATTCATTTCCCAAAAGCCAGTCATATAAATGTTAGGGCTGTGCAAAACTTCGGTAGCTGTTTCGTTTTGGAGGTGTTTTGGCCCATTTCATCATCTGGAGCACCGAATCTGAATTGGAACAGAAGGCTCCGAAATAGCTCTGAAATTAAACGGAACTATCCTAAACGTTCCAGAGGCAGGATTGATTCGGGAAACAGAAACTCGGAAGAGTGGGGGAAGGACTGCTCTGGTATTGGCAGCTGTAGCTGGCCAGTGTCCGCAATCTGTCTCTGAAGTCTGTTCCAATCCTGGTTCTCTGAGGGAGGGATGGAGAAAGAACATATAAGGCTGTTTGTGAACTGCTCTCTGCCTTTTGTGAGATCTGTCTGTTGCAGCACAAGCAGCATCTGAAGGGTCTAGGCTGGTAGCAGTAGGTAGTCTCTTGCTACCAAGTTGTAGCCAGGCATTAGCCAATCCTTTCCCACTTACACTTGCCTGCCATTCCTGTTAATCCCTTTCAAATATTTCTTTCCCCCAAAATCCTGTTGTTTATTCTTGTTATTTTTTTTCACCCCAAACAAAAAGAAAGCTGTGCTTTGTATGGCAGTGTCTCATCACTGTGCAGGAAAGCACTACACATATACACATGCAGACACATTTTCCAGCACACCAAATATGAAGCATGCTGAAAAGGCAGGTGCCCAGTCTTCTGGTGGGGGGGAGGGCAGAGGGGCCAGAGTGAGAGCTACAAGTTCCACCCTCCCCCCCAGACAGATGCACCCTCTTCCCTAGCAGGCATGAGGCTCCTGCTGCTAGTGGGAGCAAGGATATGGGAGCAGTGTCTGCATCTGCCCCATCTCCACTAACACCAGAAATAATAATAACAACCAGCACCACCAGCATGATAAGCACCAGCATGACAGTGTCCCCCACCCCAATTTCAGTTCCCAGCTTGAGCTTTCCAGTGCCAGAGGAAGAGCTGGATCTGGAAGCAGTGGAGCTGAGTACCATAGCCAGAGAAGTTCTGGGGGAGGGGGAATCTGAGTTTAAGCTCCACACCCTTCAGAGTTCCCCTAGAGCCAGGTCTCTTTCTGCAGAAGGCACTACGGAGAAGGTTGTGGGGGCAGGTGGCTGAACATCCCCTGCCATTGTGCCTCTGCCTGCTGAGGAGGGGGATTAAGGTAGGATCCTTATGCGCACCCCAGAAGCTAGGGGGTAGTGTAGTGTAGGATCATTTTCAGGTGGCAGATGACTCCACATGCTATCTGCCTGTAGTGCCGATGCAACACCAGCTGGGGCAAGGAGGTGAAACACTTCAGCACCACAGGTAAGCTGATGCATCTCAGGAGGCACCACCCCCTAGCCCATGCTTCTCAGCCTGGCACCAGTGGGAGCGTGCCCAAGAGGAAGTCCCCTCCTTGCTCCAAAGCCCTTGTCCCCCATAAGTAGAGGACAGCCACCCTGGACCAGTGGGGGAAAGGCCGAGCGAAAGGGGGGGTGCATTCCAAAACCAAGTGAGGTCACCCAGAGAATTGGGGAGATGCTTGCTCTGGATGGCCAGCCCTTCTCCTTTATTGAGTGGCCAGGGTTCAAGCAGCTCATGGTGCTCATGGCCCCATCCTACCAAGTCCCACACACACCACCTTCAGCAGGATGGTGGTGCGCTCCCTGTATGAGGCATGCAGGGAGTACTTGAGGGAGGAGCTGTGCAAGGCAGGGCCACAGGTAGCCTTACATTTCACCTCAGACATCTGTAGTAGTCGGGGTGGAGATCATGCCTACCTCTCTTCCATAGGGCACTGGTGTGATCAGTCAGGCCATCGGTGGGCTCTCCTTCAAGCCGAGGTGATGGATGAGTCCCACACGGCAACGGAGATCATGGAGGCCATGAACCGCATGGTGCAGGGGTGGTTCATTGGGCAGGGTGAGCTCACCTGTGGGTTTGTGGTCACTGACAACAAGTCCAATATGGTCAAGGCAGTGTGTGATGCCAACTTTTTGGCATCCTCTGTGTGGCACACAAGTTCCACCTCATAATCAGGGATGTCTTGCAGGGGAACAGGGATCCCAGTGATGGCACCATCACAACCAGCCAGCTCATTTTGAAATGCAGGAAGGTGGCGGGCGGAAGATGCTGCAGGAGAAACAGTCATCGCTGACCAGCACACAGCACAAAATTATGCAGGATGTGGAGACTTAGCGGATCTCCACATACCTGATGCTCAAAAGGCTGGTTGAGTAACAGAAGGCCATGCGTGAATCTGGCTACAGTTGCTCAGGAACACCTGTCCTGTCCACCAACCAGTGTTCTGAGCGAGAGGTTGTTCAGCGCTGCTGGGGATGTTGTGACACCCCTCCGCAGCTTCTTGGATCCTGGTTTGGTAGAGCAGCTGGTGTTCCTCAAGGTGAATCTCCTGCTGCTGGGGTTCCCCGAGCTCCACATGCAGACAGGGTGAATGCCACCCTCCTCACTGTCTGCACCTATTTCCTTTATTTATTTATTTATTTTTTAAACCATTTAATGCTCCGCTTTCAGAGCTGGAGGCAGCACTCACTGTATCATCAGCCAGCAGAGGAAGATCATCTTCTTGCTGAGCTCCCATGCCAGGATGAACTTGGAAGTATGGACTGGGGCCATGGGGAATGAGGAGGCCCCAGGTCCTGAAAATGACCTAAAACTGCACCCTGCCAGGGTTGTGAGGCCTGGTGGGACTGCTGGTGGCGCAGCAGCCCCCAAGAAATGCCAGGACCACAAACCTTCCTGATGAAAAGTGCGTAGGAGGAAACCTTATAACTTCCAGCCACCACACACACACACACACGGTCCTAGCTAGGGAAAACCCAGACCTGTAAGATCTTTGAGAGGCCTGAGGCTTGCTGGTTGCAGTGGAGTTGTGAGGTTCCAGGTGAGCTTAGCTGCCTGGAATGACATCTGCGAGACATGGGCTACAGGCTAGGGTAGATATGGAGCTGCAGAATGGATGTCACCCTACACATCAGGGACCTAAATGGGCTATCTCCTGCCTAGGTAACATCTTAATCAGTTTTCCATCAAGGCATGGCAGACGAAAGAGGGCCGGGCAGTTGGACCAGAAACAGGTAGTTGGGCCGAGATCCAACCAGCACCAGGAAGGCCCCCTGTTACAGGCTACCATCCCTGCTGCATTCATCCTGCCCTGCCTTAACACACACAAGGCAGACAACGGTCTTTGGATCACTCTGATATCTTTTATTAGACCAGCTGAATATTTGGAGAAATACATCTTAGCAAGCTGTCAGGTTTAAAACCCTTCATCAGGCTGAGGAATCATCTGCAATTGGTGTGTGTGCTGTTCCTGGAAGGAAGGAATAATAAAGAAGCCAGAGGCTGACATGCAATGCAGGGAAAAAAGCCAGTCAGTGAAAATGTAAATTGAAGTTTCGGGGTGAGGGATGGGGGGAAGGTGCATGTAGCAGGTAAAAATGGAGGGGTACCTGGGGAGTCAGATGTCTGGCAGGATATAGTGTGTCATAAATCCAATGTCTATATTGAGTCTATGAGTGTCTGTATCTAGGAGGTTGATGAAGTGAAGTTCATAGGCTCATGTGAAAAGTGGTTTGTAATTTCCCTTTGAGGATCAGGCCTGAGAGACTGGAGACAGAGTGGCTTTGTTGTGAGAAATTTGCCCCGACAGGTAGGTATTCTTGTCTGTAATAGATTTCCGGTGTGCATTCATTCTGGTGCACAGTTGTTGCTTGGTGTCTCCTACATATTTTCCATCAGGGCATTGGGTGCACTGGATGAGATATATAACTTTTCTGGAGGTGCAGCCATAAGATCCAGGGGTGGTGATGATTCTGTTGTGGGGTATAATAATTGTGGGGGTACTGGAGATATGTCGGCAGGTTTTGTATTTCTTGTCATGGCATGGTCTGAATATATTCGGTGTGTTTTGGGCTGTAGGAAGTTTGCTTCTAGTGATGAGGTTAGCAAGGTTCTGTGGTTGTTTGAATTTACAAACCACTCTTTAAAGACAAACCTATGAACTTCACTTCATCAGCCTCCTGGATACAAAAACTCAAGGACTCAATATAGACATTGGATTTATTGACACACTATAACCTGCCAGACATATAACTCCCCAGGTACCTCTCCACTGTTACCTGCTACATCCCCCTTCCCACCCCACCCCCTGCCCTCTATGCTTGTCCCTCACCCCCTCACACCTCAATTTATATTTTCACTGACTGGCTTTCTTGCATGCATACCAGCCTCTGGCTTCTTCACTATTCAGTCCATCCAGGAAGACCACATGCACCAACTGCAGATGCCTCCTCAGCCTGACAAAGGGTTTTAAAACCCAAAAGCTTGCTAAGATATATTGTTCCAACTATTCCAACTATTCGGTTAGTCTAATAAAAGATATCAGAGATACCCTCGACTGATCTGTGCTGGGGCCAGGACCCAAAGTGGGGTCAAAGGGCCAGGGGCCCACCGCGACGAATGCCCAGAGGAAGAGGCTCAGGTTTAAAGCTGGCCTGAAGGCGGGGCCAGGGCCTAACGTAGCCAAAGGTCCCAGACAGGGGACCACAGCTGGAGGGGGTGAAGGCATGGGCTGCAGTGTAGGGGAGATATGCAGCTACGGAATGCATGTCACCCCTAGACATCTAAATGGGCACCCTCCCACCTGGAAAGCAACTGAATCAGTTTTCCATCAAGGCATGGCAGGCAAAAGAGAGGTGGGCGGTTGGCCCAGAAATAGGTGGGTGGGCAGAGATCTGACTGGAAGGCCCCCTGTTACAGGCTACCATGCCTGCTGTTTTCATCCTGCTCTGCCGTAACACACACACACGACGTGTTTTGCTTTGAACAGTTTGAGGTGCAGTTTCACAAAAACCTATGCACCTATCTCCTTGAAACTTGGCAGGCTTCATGCCCTCAGACGGGGCTACTATCCCTGCAATTTTCATCTGAACGAGGCAAGAAGTGACAAAGTTCTAGACATTTTAGTGATTCCCCATTATAGCCTATGGCCAGGGGCACCGTGTAGGAATGCACGGGTGTCCCCCCTGCGAGTGCCAGCCGGGGAGCAGAGCACTGCTTTCATGGTGAGTGAGATTGGCCACCCCCCCAGTCAGCAGGATCAGGCACCGGGGGACCCCTCCCCCCCGACTCAAGCACCAGACACCCATGACTATGGCCAAATCACTGAAACAGCATCCAAACTCCAAAACAGAGTTGGCCGAATCAAAACGGAACAGTGATCCAAAATACCAAAACAAATCACTGTCCCTCTGAAATGGCTGAATCCAAAACCAAATTGAAACATAACCATTTCACACAACCCTAATAAATGTTTTCGTTATCTCTGCTCTCTAAGGCCCATTTATAGTAGCTGTTCTTAAAGCCATGCCTTTACAACTAGGGCATGGCTTTTGACCTCATGTCTTTGCTTATTGGAAAATTATTTTGTTTGTTTGTTTTTAATATCAGTTCTGCCTTGAGGAAGGCAAACCCACCTCTAGAAACAAATTGCAATATGTATCTTGTTTTTACATGCTGCATTTTACATATTGAATTCAGAAAACATCATTTTAGCATTTTATAATAATGCCTGAAGTCTGGATGTTTAGAGATACCTGATACAGCAGCATTTCATCTCTGTCAGTAAGAGCCTTGTTACACCTTACACTGCGAGCTGCACAAATGCAGCTCGCAATGTTGCAATTACAATACTTCACAAGTTTCTAGAAGTGCACTGAAGTCACACAGTTGGGTTCAGATATTATTTTGAACCCATGGTTCAGAGCCTATGGATCTCTGAAATGTAGCCTTTTCTGATTTGGTGGCCAACAACCATGTTCACAGTTAATTGTGGGCACAAAGCTTCAGGCACAATAAATAAAAGTTATCAACATCTAGTTAGCACAGTAACACAAAACTTTCTTTCTGTTAATTCTGAAATTAAATCATGCTGGTGTTTAGTTATTCAAATGGGGTCAATGCAAGCCTGGCGGTGGATGAACAGGGTAGGAATAAATTAAAACAGGAATTCTGGAGTGGTAAACTGAGAGTAAGGCAATACTCACTTGTAGTGAAGCTCTCATCTTGTAGCTTCAATCCCCTTGCTCTTAGCACCACCACAGTGAGACGTCCCAGGTAGTCATTATAGCTGAGGGAGAATTGGATATCTCCACACTCTGAAGGGGGCTTTGTAAGCAGAAGATTACTGGTAAAATTCAACTGAAAGGATCTCTCTTCAGTCATATACAGATGGACACTTCCTGCCACTTACAGTCATATACAGATGGGCAGTGTTTTCTGCCACTTTAAGAATGGAAAATGAACTCTAATGTCTTTGTATTTCATTATTAATTGTATTTGCAATGAATAGTATTTTGGTGTTAGTTATATTAGACAAAAGTGTTTTTGCAGTGTACTATTCAAGAGATTCCAGTATGCTCCCTCACACTAAATTCTTCGCTTTATTTACATGAGTAAATACACTGATGTCAGCAAAAAAAGTTTTGTACCCTCTTTTTAACTGCTACTCTCATGTGACCCCCATCCCTCTATTGCACATTATCAAAGTGTTGCTTCATACTCCCACACTTCCCACAACCTTTCTCCCCTGGGCACCAGCATGAGTAATGCTATAGCCTTTGGGCAATATAAAGAATTCTAGACTTGTCACCAGCTTAATATCTATTTTTGTAGGTTTAATTGAATGGGGTCAAACTTGTTGATGTGTTATGAAAGTGCTAACAAATGAGACAGTTCCTTAAAGGCTCATCTACAACATTCCTGTACATTTGAATTACTATTTTTGAGGGTACAGCATTCTTTTTGTTTTGCTGTGACCTGCTTTTCTCTCCTCTTTTTAATTCCTGGCCATGTACAGACACTCAGTTTCTACAAACATTTCCATTCTCCCATTAGAAAACAAAAGTGTGCAGCCATTCAAGCTTTTTCTCCCTGAGCAAAAATGGCTGCTCTGAGAGAAAAATAACCCAGGAACAACCAGAGTTAAATTGCTCCCAGGAGCTTCTCCTGCGAGACATAATGTCTGCAAGCTTTTCACCAGTTTAACTCCTCCTAGGAACAAGGAGGAGTGGAGTTAGGAGAAAGTGCCCCTGCCTTCCTGAGACCAGGGTCATCCCCATCTGGAGAAGGAACAAGAGGCAGCTGTTTCCCAATCCCATAGACATGAAAAGAAAGGAGGAGCAGCCCCAGCTGCTCTCTCCCTGGTTCACACCAGAGCTCCCAGTGTGAGAAGCAGGAAGGGGTTTTGGCATGCCTCTGCTCCAGGCACTAGGAGCCAAGCGTAGGGAGCGTTGCTCCCCACCTGCTTCCCCCTGCACCCTCCCTTTCCCCACAGCTCAGCTGAGCAGCAGGGGCAGCAAGCTAGGCTTACAAGACTAGCTTTGGGCCCCGCTGGTTTCCTTTTCCTTTCCCTCACTGCTCAGCTGAACAGCGTGGCCGGGAATTGAAAAGTTGGCACAGCCAGTAGCTGAGCTTGTAAGTCTGATTCTCAGCCACGCTGGCTTCCACTTGCAGTTTAAAAGCCAGAGAAGCTGGGAAATGTGCTTGGGGGAAGGCATCTCAAGTCTGGCTCCCAGCCCTGCCAACTTTTCCTTGCCTCCCAGGGCAGAATAGGATGAAGCAAGGTGTTGTGTGGCAGTGTCAAAGCTTGGTGAAAAGCTCTTGCCTTGCCCCACACTACTCTGGTTCAGACCAAAGTAGTATATGGTGAAGCAGCTGTCGTTCCCCTGTGGCAAGGGTCCCGGAGATTTGCTTCAGTGGCTGAGTGCTCCCCACCCACCCTGCACTTTTCCAGGTCAGCCCAGAGAAGTGCAAGGAGCAGGGCTATTCTCTTGCAGGGGAGAACTTGGAAGGCCCCCCATCAGGGCAGACAGGATTGGGGGTCATTCTCCTGGGGCTGGGGCTCTTCTAGGGCAGTCTGTGGCAGCTGCTGTTTAGCAGCTACCAGCTGCCACTTGACAGTCTGTCCCTTTCCCAGGTAGGGGAGAGTACGGGCTGTCAAGTAATGGGCTCTCCTAGGGTGGGGTGGTCCAAAGAGCATCCCTCTAGTGTCCTTTTACTGGAGAGCTTGCCTGTGCTGTGAAGCTCTCCAGACTAGGGCTGGAGGAATATGTGCATAGCTCCTGGGCTATTTTTCTACCAGAATAATTATTTCTACTGGAAGAAAGTTATCTGTACACAGCTTATAACAGATAACAACAGAAAGTGTTCTAACACTTAGCTACTGCATTTTGTTTAAGCTGTGGAATAGGTAGATATCTATGCATCCCCAGTGTTAAGTCCATGTTGGAGAAACATCAGAAGTTCTGTAGAGCTGAATGTTATTATGTCAGGGTTTAACAAAACAATATATTATTTGATTTCATGTTCTTCTGTCCCATTCATGTCCACATGCAGTTACTGTATGTTCCCTAGCCATCCTAGTAGGCCCATCAAGATGGAAAATTTAAAAACACAAGCCAGAGTAATATTTACCTCATTTATTTAACCCTTTGCTTAGTTGCCTACCTCCAGGTTTTCTGCCTCCAGATCTCTCCAAATGACCAGTTTGCTGTCACTAGTTAGTGTTTCATTTCTCAAAGGCAAAATAACTTGGCCCAGGAGGTGGTGCCTTTTCTGTTTATCAGTGTGAAAGACCAAGAACTTCAGGGTTCTTTGGTGTAATGTTTTACTGGAAGCCTGTGCAAGAATAGGAAAAGTATTTCAATATAATCCAAATGGGTGCTACTGAATTATTTATACCACTATGTAGAATATAATCATCATGTATATTTAAGACAGATTTTTTTTGGAATGTGTTGGAGAATTGGAATTTGAAAAAATGTTTTAAGCCCAGTGTTTTAAGTGTGTGAAGTCACAATTGTGCCAAGAGCTCCTAGGATCCAAACAAAAATAGTATTAATATAATTGTAAAATCTCTAGAATATACTTCAAAGAGTTTTTAAATTAATATAAATTTTCTGATGTGAAAGTATGATATTGTGTAATGTTCCACTTCTAGAAGCAACTGGTATCCCCTGGGAAGGCATGCATTTCCTAGTAGTTCAAAACTGATGCTTTTATCATTGTAGTGTTGCTAGATATCATACCTTCAACCTATCACTTTACTAACTATGGATATTACCCACCTGAAATCTTAATACAGGGTAATTCCGGGGCCAGAGAATTACATTTTGAGAGGAGTAAAACCAGTTCACAAATTTAAGAGAGATTGTTTATTACTTGGTTTGTTTTTAAGCTTCTCAGAAGTAGTTTTAGGTTAATGGATTAACAGATCAGGTAAAGATGTTTGTTAAAAATGTCATGACAAAAGCAATGTATTACATAGCTCCATAGTTTATCATCAGGACACACGATAACAGGAATGTCTAAATTATTTTTCAGGCTTGTTTCTGTACTCAAAAATATAAATGTATAGCCATATCCCTAGCAAAATACCTCGTATGATTGATCCTCCTTTTGGTTTATAAGTATGCATTTTTCTTTGGAAAAATGTATTGAAAATTACTAATTTATTAAAATCAGAAATTATATTAAATATCCATCACAAAATCCAGGAGCTCTCTGGTTTGTGCTAAAACTTTCAGTGCTTTTAGTCATTCAGTTCTGCAACAGATCACTGACTTGAGCTGGAGTTCCCAGGATGGCCAGGCTCCCACTTACTAAACAGCAGGGATCCAGGTTCTCTCCAATAACTCCCCTCCCCCAATTTTTGGATTAAAAAAAGTAACCCAAAATCCATTTTTTTCCATGATTAAAATGAAACACCACTAATATATGTGTGTGTGTGTGTGCGCGCGCGTGCACGTGTGCATGTAGATAGATAGACACACACACAGATATATATAATTTGTGGTGTTTCATTTTAATCATGGAAAAAGTGGATTTGGGGTTACTTTTTTAATCCAAAAAGTGGGGATTTTTTTTAAATCAGAAAACCTGAATGCCTACTAATAAGGAAGCATGGAACCCCTATGAACCCCAGTCCAAGTCAGTGGTCTCAGGATTTTGATTCACTGCTGTGGAGCCAGAACTCCTAGGTCTTCCAGGTTCCGCAGCAAGGAGACCGAAGCTCTGGAAACACTGATTTCCCAACTGTGTCAGTCTATGTGGAAGGGCTATCCTGGAGTAATTGACGTGGAAAGTCTAGGGTTTCTAAGCACCCCAAACTAGACTGACTAGAGCTGGCATGAAAGCAGACAGATGTCCAAGAGAACACATGCCTATGTTTTGACAGAAGGTTGTTGAAACTGGTCCATTCTTGCAAAGTATTTTAGTTGTGATGAATCATCACTTCTGGGCAAAAACTTGCTTCATTGGAACGTTTCTACCAGCTAGTCATGGCCATATATGTGTTGGGAAAGGTTCATCATGAGATGATGTAGCCCTCTTGACTACCTAGCCTATCTTACTTCCTTTGATCTTATTTCCCTGATATTCAGAGTGAAACATCATAGGCAGAAATCCAGTTAAAAAGCAGGTACCTGAAAAACAAAGTTTTCATCAAAATGTGGGTTGGGGGTTTTGCATTTGGTTTTGGATTGCAGGAAATGCCTTTCATCAGGCAACAGGTAGATTTTAACAAAGGGACTACAGGAATCTGCAGGGGCCTGAAGGTTTCTGGCTTTAATCAAGAAGACAAGGAGCCTCTCTGTTTCTTGCTCATATTCCACTGAGAACCAAAGACGACCAATGTTGCCCTCAGGGAAGTTTGTCTCGCTGTTGTCTTCAGGGTCCTTGTACAGTTCTGGATTGATGGATCCTATAACATAAGCCCCAGCTTTGTAAAATAAAAAAAAAAAAAAAAGAAATCAAGTTGACTTTAAGGGCAACCATGTATCGTTCTTGTTTACTGACAAGCTGCTTCTACATATAAATACAAGGTTTGAACTCTCTGAATTCAAAGCTTGGAAAATGTTTGTTTCTAGGGCCCATCTCTTTTATTCCTTTTACTACAGAGCAGGGCCCATGGGCCAGATGTAGCCTGGAGAGCTGTGTGATTTGGTCTGTGGGGCTCCCCAGAAGTCTGGAAATTTGACAGTGGAGCATTAGCGATTCTGCCACCAGTCCTCCACCACCAAATTTCTGAGCCCTATGGGCCACATGACATGGCCCTGTGCATAAGCTCCTGCCTATATGCACAGAGGTGGATGACAGGGCCCAACCAGGCACACATGGGGCTGGAACCAGTATGGTTTGATGTGTGGCTGAGGGCAAGCAGTGGGGCCCAATCCTGTGTATGTGGGGTGATTTGACCCAGATCCTGAGTGCATAGCAGTGGGGAGGGGCTATGGGGCCTGATCTGTAATGTGTGGGGCAGTTTGGCCTGATCTGGAGCACATGGGGGTGGGGCAATGAGCCTGATCCTGAATAAGTGGGCTGAGGATGGGTGGCAGGGCCTGATCCTGAGAACACAGGGCTGAGATTTCAGGCCCCATCCCACACAAGGCTGTGGCTGCAGCCACCATATTGCATGCAGGACCAGTGCCTGGTTCACTGTGTATTGCCTGGGGCCCCAGCCCTGTGCATGCCAGATTGGTTGCACAGAGTGGATCCAATCCACAGAGCAACAAGTTTGGGCACCAATGTTATAGACAGTGACTGCTTTGCACGGCTCCTGGGAGAAAGTAGTTGCTGCAGCCCTTGTAGGCTGCAACAACTGCAACTGGCTATGCCCACCCATCTGGAGAGTGTACAGTGTTGTACTTGTGTGAAAGTTACGGGGGAGGCAGGGCTGACTGTTTCTTGTGGCCCAATTTTGCAGGAAAACACAGGAAGTGGTTGGGACTATTCCTGTTGAATACTGTAGTAAATTCACAGCAAAGATGCTACTCAGTATCATTTCCTTTCCAACAGTCTGTCCCACCTTTGCAGTGTCATCATACCCAAGGAATGAAAAGATGACCGAGATCCAGACTGAGGGGTCATGTACAGCTCATTGTCCTCCTGGATCTGCTCTTCATTTGTCAGATTAATCCAGTCTCGCACATGAATTTTTGGTGGAATGATGAATGGAACACTTCTAGTTCTGCTCAATGACAACAACCACTATCAACTTTTCCATTAAAACTAAGAAAACCACATTTGGTAACAGGAACATGTATTTAGTATCATTATAATTTCAAAGTTTTCTGTAAATTATATCCGTATCACTGAACCAAACAACATAATACTTTTTATTCTATGCTTATGTAAATGGTAAGAAGTTGCTTGTATTGTGGCAGATCTTAGAGCACCCAGCCAGGAATCTGGCACATCATTGTGCTAGACTCTGTAAATACAAACATATTTTTAGACAAATCCCTTTAATCCTTAAGTAATGTGTAAAAGCAGGTGGGGGGGTTGCTTGTTTTGTTTTGGAGACTGAAAGCATAACATTAGCTCCCCCCCCACTTTTTTCTTTTGGTCTACTGCTTCATTAATTCCTTGATCACTAGGTTCTTGAAAAATTTCATTCTGAGCATCACCAGATAGCATTGTAGTCCACTGACCATAAATATGATTTCACCAACAAGTAGCATTTTCTGAGGGGGACCTTGTGTCTACAGGGAAGGGCCTTGACTCGAAAAGTATTGAGAACCACTGCTTTAGTGTGTGTGTCTGCCTACATTTTGACAATCGGCAGGATGAGAGGCATGCGGCTTAATAAGCAGTAGCCTGTGATAGGAAGAAATATTTTCACCTTGTGCTTTTTGGTTGAATTGCAGGGGATGATTGGGTAAAATTCTGATCCTGTAGACTGGGCTCCAGACATGGTGGAGTAACTGGATTGACAAGTTCTTCATAAGAAGGTAGGAAGCATAACTTCTTCCAAAGCAGGTATAGAGCTATTCCAATAAGGGTGAATAAAAGGATCCCTCCTATCACACCTCCTGCCACAGCTGCTACCTGTTCTGATTACACACAAAAAATACAATACAGTGAAATACAAGATAGAATAGGGGATTTTGAATTGGGATATTGAAATTTAGGATTAAGAATTTCTAGGTACTGTGTGTGTTAAAATATTTCATGACAATGGAATTGTTTGTTTCATTGCTAATTATATTGGCTGAAGTTTTAGAGACAGGATTTGGCCCTCAAATATTTTCTTGGGGTCAGTCTAAGCCTGTGGATTGAACTCCCAGAAGAAATAGGGACCATCACAAATTTCACCACCTACTAATCCACATGCATGGCACATTTCTTTGACCTACATTCTCTGATACAGACACATAGCAAAATGTATGTCTGAAGGAAATGAAAACCTTATCAAAGTTGTATTGCATGCATGCACACACGCTTCTGCTTTGTAGAAGACAAGAACAAACAATATAAGCATTAGTCACATTATTTAATACACAACTGGAATGTGTACAAATATTGTGGTGAAGTTGACAGAGTAAGAGCATATGTAGAAGGACAGTAAACTTAGGAAGCAAAGATTTGTTTTTTTTCCAATTCAATGCGAGAGAGTCCCAATAAAAAGCAAGCTAGACACCAAGTATCAAGCAACAAATAGTACCATTACTTTGATTCATTTCCTTTCTTCTATGCTCACTTTAAAAAAATTGTCAAAATGAAAAACAAATTGAAGTTTAGAAATTAAACAAAACAAAGACCCGTTTTGTTTTGTTTTTTTTAGGCAAAAGCAAAGTTAAGAAAGAAAATAAAACAATTACAGGATACATATGTTTCCTGGTTTGGAAAGATTAACTCAGACATCATCCAAACATTGTATCCGGAACCCTGATTACTTAAGATACAAAATAATATCTCCAAAAGCTCTGTATCAGCAAAAATGAAGAAAGTTTATAAAGGAATTGCAAATGCCTTTATTTAATAGTACCCTACAGAACTTCCTTGATAAGAAGCCCTCTTAATAAAAAGCAAGCATTGAATATTGCTAATAGGCCCTGGTCACTGGTGCTGCAGGCTCCTTTATGTAAGCTATGGCAGTAAAGCAACTACAAAGAGACTAGATGTCCAGTCTCCCAGACCTCAAATGACAATCACAGAGTTCCCATAGGCAATGCTGTGCTATCCTATACAAAAGACTTTGGTGCCTGTGACATGCCACATTCAGTTTTAGGCAGAGGAGACATGGCAAAGACCCTTGTATACTTGGGTTTTTGACTGCTCCAGGGGACTGTAATGTCAGCTGGCAAATCTACAGTAGAGCAGATGACAAAGCAAGGCAAGGCCAGACCCTCATCTATGATATAACCTCTGTATATTCTTACATGTGAGTGACCAAGTTATCCTGACTATGTGAGATCAGAACTGTTAGAAGTGTAGTGTCCTTGGGAGCCAATCACCCTTTCCTTTCTGCAAGAGTTCCCAAGGTATGAGAGAAGGAATGGCTACAACGCCTTTTCAGTTCTTCCTAATTCACTTTTATCTTTACTTCTTTCTCTAGACTTTCCCTTTGCCTTCAAACCCTTTCTTCTTATACAGACCGTGGACAGAAAAACCTCTCTTCTCTGCAAGCTTATGCTATCTTTAGTAATGGTATATTTTGGTTATTTATGGACTTGGCAACACAAAGTTTTGAGCCATATATGAACTTTCTCAGTGTTTGTGGCATTCAAAAGCAGGTGCTTCTTTATTATCTGAATCAGCATGGCTATACTCAAGTTATGAAATCAAATCCAGGTTTCTTGGATTGAGGATTTACTCATACAGTATGAGGCATGTTGTCAGCTTCCAGCAAATCATAATTAATAAACTATTTGTTCAGATTTTGAAGTGATCACTAGCAAGTAGTTTATAAATGGCTGGTTGGTATCTGATTATACTTTCTTCCTATTTATTGCTTAATAATTCCTAGCTCTGTGTACATTTTTTCTATTTGGCTTGTTTAATTGACAGCCTTTATAGCAATCCCTGTAAAAATATCCATTCATAAAGGCCAAAAAAAGGCCATTACATCATTTAATCTGATCTCCTTTATAATAAAGCTGAGGTTATGATAGCGTTTCTTTTACTTTTTTGTATTCAATATATATTTACTTTTCTATCCCTTGCCTTCCCTTAATCAAGCTCTGTTCTTTATGGTCACTGAATCATTTCCCAGTCCATGATAAATGAATCCAATAAGAAAGTCTTTTCAAGGTTTTCCTTCAGGCACAATTTATTCTTCAACTAATGGCACACAGTTCAACAAAACCCTTACATGTATAATGAGTCTATTCCTAGGAGGACCAAAGCAGCCCGTAGTGGAGCAGAGGTTTTTTCCCCCTTATGCTTCTGCCTCTGTTCCAGGTAAGCCACAGGAGCAAACTTCCTTCCTGATTTCAGATCTCCAGCTGTTCTCTCTGAGCCCTTTGTAGGAATCACTTGGGCCCTTTGAGCCCACTTGAATAGATCTGACTAGTCCCAAATTCTCTAGCCCTTAAATATTTAGATACTTGCATTACTGAACCTTCCAAAATAATGGGTAATCATTTTTATATCTCTTGTTCTTGAAATTTATAGCTAAGTTGAGTATTTTTAGGTGTTAACAACACTATAAATGTTATAGTTATTGGTAACAGGCAACTGGATAGCCTGTTTATTATGAATAAAAATTAAAACATAGAGAAATCTGGTTGTACTAAACTGGTAACCTAATTTCCTTTGCCTGCATAAATATAAATCAGAGATTTGCTCTTGAGCAAAAAACTTCAGCATATGCCTTTTAGTCATACAGGACACACTCACAGACTTCCATTAAAACACTTAGGTATTTCTACAGAAAAAAAATTGTCAGCTCACTTCCCCATGAACACATCTTTGTCTATAGTTTTTGAAAACGAGAGAGAGAGAGAGTCAGTCCTTCAATATAAATGCCTCTATAAAATGAACTAGTAAAAAATATATTAACATCAGCATTGCAAATGTTTGTATGGTTGATGGTTTTATTCTCTACCCTGCTATATGCATGTTTAAAAAATACCTAGCATTTCAAGGGTCATAAAAGCTGAAGCCAACTCCCTTTGTTTTCAGTTTATTTCCTCATCTCCATTCCCAAGTAGTTACACCCATTCTAGCCATCCTGTGCTCTACCTAATAACTGTCTTATCTATACAAGCATTAATAGCAACAAACTAAGAAGGTCTGTAATGTACTGTACAGCAGCCACTCTGGAATGAGGTAGAGCAGATCCAAAGAGAAGGAATTTCTAACAGTTGTGTAAATTCAACCTTATTTTTTATTGCTGAATCGTAATGTTTAAATGTTTCCAACTGATTTGCTCTACTCACTGACATTAGGTCAGATTGTGGATTTATTCATACTGGTATAAATATTCAGTTTATCATTTGAATACAACATTGTTATTCAGAACTTACACAAAGTATCTGGAAGATGAATTGGGCTTATTTTCTTTTTAAGCAGTTGGCCTGGTCCGATTAAACCAAACCATACTAAGAAATAGATCAGAATACAGTGTAGCCCAAATCAGAAAGGTAACCAGTGCAATAAGCGCTACTTGTGGATAAGTAGTCTGATTTTTTTTTTGGAACCACCTGTACTGATGGAAAAAATACAATATTATTTTTTCATCTGTGATATTGGTTCATAGTAATCAGAGTCTGAAAGGATTGCTGGAGCAGTGGATTAATTTTCTTGCACTATATGCCCTGCAAGGACCATCAACATGTGTTGGGTACCATGCTTGATCTTAGTGTGCACAAGATTTTGATAAGCAAGCTTTCTCTCTCCCTTGAACTTACAGCCTTTTGCTTATTCTTTGAAAAGAACTGTACATAAGCTTTCACCCCATTCCATTCCCCAACCTTCTTGCCTGTCTCTCTGGTAAATCTTTAACTTAGGAATTAAGGAAACATTAAAACACATGTGACAATGTATATAAATCTATTGCAGTTATGTCTGGGTAACACTTCATTGCAAACTTTAATTTTATAGAACTCTCCAAATTACAGCACATTTTCTCTTTCTTCATGTTGTGATTTACACACACATCCCAACACAATCCTTTTAGAAAGAAAACAAATCCTTTTAGAAAGAAAACATATACAGTATATCAGCTTTTATATTTCCTTGTGTGCTCACTTGGCTCTTCATGGATTACTTACAACAGACACCAAGCAATTATTTGATAGGAGGGCAGTCGGTAAAAGCATATAAACAAAATCAAAGAATTGCAAAGCTTCTTACCTCTTAGATTTACTGAGTTTTATGCTCATAGGTATTCTAGGGAGGAGCTAGACCTACAGATTTCTGTTTGGGTGCATATATGTTTATTATATTATTACTGGTTAGAGAGCCTAGATCAAGGCACTAATTCTCTAGCACGAAAGTCAGGAGGAATTTGAACAATTCCAGAAAATCTGAAAAACCATCTGCCAGAATGAGCAGCATGTAAATAGGCTGGATTTCTGACAGGACGGGAAAGTTCAGTTTAAATTGCATTCATAGGAACCAATATCAGGCAAGAGTAAGAATGTAACAGATGCAGGCATGGGATACCAAAGCTGAACAGCTGAGCTGAGCTACCTTGGCTTTGCAGGGTTGGGGCTCTCTACTGCAGTGCATTGCTCTCTCCCTGGGACCAACCACACACCAAATCTCCAGATTTAGCCAGGAGAGGGGAGGAACCACAGCAACCTGAACCCCAAGTTTCACCAGGTAGAGTCCCATCAGATAGCAACTCCTTGTTTATTCTTGCTCTCCCCAAGGGGGTCATGGATCTCAGCACTGGCACTTACCAGACATGAGTTCTGATGCATCTTGCAGCTGCTAGTTTGGGTCCTTGTCCCTGCAGTGCAGATCTCCAGCTTACAGCCCCAGCCCCATCTCTTCTGTCCCCAGTCAGCAGCAGCTCACTTTCTTGCCTCCCTTCACCACAGGTAAGCAGCTGGGTAGAGTGAGCACTTCACCTCCCTCTGTTGCAGGGCTGGGGATGCAGCACTAGCAGAGCTGGAGTCTCTCAGGTGCCAGTTGATGACAGTTTTCCCACATGGATCTTGTGTTTCTGACAGCCTGAGATTAGGAGGAGGGAGGCAGCAAGTCCCTGGTCAACTACCCACTGTGTCCCTCCCTCATGCCACTAACTACTCCTCCTTCTGGTCACAGATGAGCTCCTTGGTATTTAAAGGGCTGCAGGGACCTGCCAGCTCCTGTGGGCTTGGAAAGGACAATATGGGAGAGCCCTGCAACCAACTCCTCCTAGCCTAGGCTAGGCTGCTTTTTTTTAGGGCGTTTATTGCATTCTTCAGATAAAATCACCAACACCAGGCTGCTTCCTAAACCTTTCAACTGTATTTTGCTGATGGGATGGGGGAGCTTAGGCAAGATTCTTGGTGCCTGCCTTACTGCTCCAGAAGGCAAGGCTTTATCAGATCAGTGTGTTTGTTTAGTGAGAGAACAGGCATGGTTTATTAAAGTGTAAAGGTGTCTAGTTAATAAAGGAAATGCCTGAGAGGGAACCTGTGTGAGATGCTATCCCCCCTGTGGCCAGGCAGAGAGGACTGTGTAGGGGTCATTCTAAACTGAGGCAGAATTTCAGGACAAGGAGTGTGACAAGCCTGGTGGACTTCTGAGCAAAGGTTCTTGGATGGAAAGCAGGGTCTAGTGGTTACAGTACCAGCCCAAGCATCAGGGAACTGGTTCTGGCAGGATTTTCCATAGACATGCTGTATTGCAGAGCACAGCACTTAACATGCCTGTTTCTCCACCTGTAAATGTTTAGTGTCCTTTGTAGTGTTCTTAAAAATCCTTGTATCTTAGTACTACAGAACTTCAAAGCATTACACAATTATGAACTGTTACATTAATCTTCTGGCAAATCTTGATAAGCCAGTTCAGTTGTTTAAACTCTGATAAGAAAAGAATATATAGTTAAAGCATAATGTGCTTTTAGCAACAAAAAATGGTATTTTATTGACAGTCCTGCAGAACTGATATGGTCTGGAGAACAGGAGCGCAAACTTAGCCAAAACTGCCTCACCTCTGTCCCTCAGCCATGCCTTCAGGAACTTCTTACAACACTGGGTAGAGCAGAGATCCATTATTTAACATCTTTATAAATAGGCTAGAAGAGAGGGCAAACCACACATTAATGAGGCCTGCAGTTGAAACTAAACGTGGAGGAGCTGTGAAGGTCAGTGAGTGCAGACAAATTATACAAAAGGGAGAGATTCAGAACTTATGCATAAATAAAGGGAAATATATCAGAAAAAAAGTTAAGTCATTCATATGGGGGAAAGAGGCTGTGTCTCAGTTTGGTGGGGGGGAACTTACAGCTCTCCTTCTTCTGCCCCTCCCTGAAGCTTGCCAGATGCCTTTCCAGCACACTTCATGGTGTTTCATAGTGTCTTGTCTTTGCTTTGGTGTGCTGGAAAATGTGTCTCTTCTTCTGTAAAGTTATCTATCTGATGTATGTAATATATGTAGATTAGATAATTGTATGTGTATTTATGTAATGTATGTATGTTTGCATGTATGTATTTATGTAATAAATAAAATAAAAATATATAAATATATGTATGTTTTCCTATATAATTCTATGTTATTATGTGCAATATAGTTTCATAGTTTCATAGTTTGTAGGGTCAGAAGGGACCTGAGCAGATAGAGTCTGACCCCCTGCCTTGGCAGGAAAAAGTACTGGGATCAAATGACCCCAGCAAGGGGACAGAACAATTATTCTCTGCTTCCTTGCACAGTGAATGGAATGCACACTGCGAGAGACAGCACAGATTTAAAAAGAATCAAAACAGACTAAACAAAAAGATTTTGGTGGAGGAATAAATTGAAAGGAATCAATCAATGAATATAATAATAAAATAAAAGGGTATAGAAAGAAAGCAAAAGGTATTACTGAATCCCACTTGCTAGGCCAGCAAGTAGGAAATGAATGGTAGCCTTTGTTGTCTAATGCTGCTGAGCTTCTGGAAGATACCTCAGTAACTGAATCCAAGGCAGAAAGCAGCTCAGTTCAAACAATGCTGCTTTTGATGCTGTTTTTCTATCCCTCCCTCAGAGCACTGGGATTGGAAGGGACCTCAGGGAAGGATCACAGTCACTGGCCAGCTCCACAGTCAATATCAGAGCAGTCCTCCCCCGTCTTCCCCCTCCCTCTCCTTACTTTCTGTTTCCCTGCAGGCAATCCCAGCTTCAGCTTCGAAACTCAAAACATTTTGAAACTTTTTAAACATTTCAACTGGCCTCATTTTGTTTCAAGCCTGTTTTGAAGCCCTTCATTTTGTTTCTATTTCAGTGTTTCAAGCTCGAAACAAGTCAAAACAGCATCAAAACAAAACAGCTCGTGAAATTTCGCACAGCTCTACTGAAGACCATTTTGGGCACTGACGGATTTGGGGAGGGAGGGAAGCACTTAATCAGAAGAGGGTGTGTACTATAAAATACAGTTTTTTCAAAATATAAGTTTATTTTGAAACATTGGGAACAAACTGTTTTCTAATGGTTACCTTGGATTGTAGGCTCTTGCGTCAGGAATGGTATCTTGTGTAGATGTTCGGTAAAGGTTGTGGAACCTTTTTGGGGTATTGCAAATATAATTAAAAATATTTCAGCTGGAGAAATCAAAATCTAATTTCTAATGGCACAATCAGCTAAAATTGATGTCATGCATCTGAAAACCCCACTTTCATCTGTATGTCCTATACCTACTAATTATATTAAATATCACAACCAAGATGACTCTAACTATTGAGAATTGAGGGGTGAATAATTTTTGTCCTCAACTGATTCATGATATTTGCAGTAATGTTAACCTTAGTGTAAGGGAGTGAAGCAGGTGCCGAGCTCGGTGGGACCCCAAGTCGACGCAACTCGACGCTGCTCATGCAGTCTGGCCAGTGACGAGCGGCGGGAATTTGAATTCCCCAGGAACCTGGAAGTGGGAGGTGCTGGAGCAACCCGGGCCAACTCAAAGGGAGCACCGGTGCGGGCTCCCGGGACAGCGGGTCCGGAGGCAGCGGAGCCGGAAGCAGCGGGTCCGGAGGCAGCGGAGCCGGGAGCAGCGGGTCCGGAGACGGTGGGTCCGGAGGCAGCGGCTCCTGAGGCGGTGGATCCGGGCATAGCAAGTCCGGAGGCGGTGGCTCCAGAGGCAGTGGAGCCAGGAATGGTCGTTCCAGGAGCGGTGGTTCCAGGAGTGGAGAAAGCAGACGCGGCAGAGGCCGGAAGCGATGCCGGAGTAAAGACGCCCCAGCGGATCAGGGCCATCGGAAGGAGCAGCCAGACCTTTTGGGGTAAGCGGGACCCCGAGACAGGGATCCGTACCCCGGGGAGCAGACCTAGTAGGATTGAAGGACAAAGATTGCCGCAGGGTACGGCACGAGTCCCGTAGGGACCAGATCCGAGGCAGAGGGACTACGGGACAGACTCGGTGCACCAAGGAGTCCCCGCCTTTCTTTCTTTTGTATTTACGGGCGCTGAACCACTGGCGCAAAGCAGCTCGGTGAAGGGGGGGGGAAGACCCAGAGGGGAGCAGGGACTCCTGAACCCGGACCAAGGCGTAGGGCAGGCGTATCCCCAAGGGACCCTCGGCTGGGATTTTTCTTTTCTTCTATGGACTATACTCTATTTAATTTGGCGGGTCCGCGGCCTGTGTGAGGAAAGCAGCAGGACAGGGGGAACAGCTCCAACCGGAGGACCGGGCGAGGGTGTAGGGGTGGAGGAGCCCTCAGGATGACGGGACCCTGAAGAGGACGAGAGTCTCATTTCTGGACTGTATGTGCTGTACCAACTGGACAGATATAGATTAACAACAAGTCGTGGCAGGCAAGACAGGCGCATACACACATCTGGGCCGGGTGAGTCACTCGTGATCTTGTAGAGAACAGGTCCCATTCCGGGGGGGGTTGGGCCAAAGGTGGACCCACCCCAGCTGGGATTCCTTCACACTTAGTATTCAAAGATCATAAGCCAAACCCCTAAATAAAACATTTTAGTTTTTTCTTAGTACTCAGGTGATGTTTTCAAACTTCTCTCTGTAAGTCGGAGGGTTAGAGACTTATTTTTAAAATACATATATTTATTTTTAATGAAAATAACATTATGAAATAGCAGCATTCAAGGTTCTGAAACAACACTGAATATTTCAAGACTAACACTGTGAGATGTATGGTGTTCACTGTTCATTTGATACCACTTCATATGTACAGTGTTCAACAGTACTTCACATATAGACTGTTTCAATGTTGTGTTGATAGTGAGTTGCTTTTCTTGTCTTGGGTATTAGGAAGAGGACATCACACTCTTGATGACTGCACTAGTAGGGAGTCACCTATAACAGCTTCAGCAACGCAAAAGACAGACAGATACACAGAGAAAGCTGTGGAAAGGTGAGCCTGAGATGTTTAGTAGTATTGCTCTTAAACCTGCCCCAAAGGTCATTCAAGTGCCATTAGTAATGGAGCAGGAAAAGGAAGATGGTATTTTTGGAAAGATTTTTTTTTCAAAACTTCAAAACATACTATTAAAAGAGAACTCTATCAGAAAGTTGATTTTTTCTTAAACTGGTTACTTTAAAAAGAATTTCAAGACATCAATATCTTTGTAAAGGCTTTAAACTTTAATTTCACTTCTGTCTGAAAAACTTTCATCCATGCTATGTTTCATTGTACCGTGGCTCCTTTAATCTTGCAGGTACCCCCAGGCATGCCCCCACCCCCACACCACTGGTTGATGGAGGAGCCCCACTTCTGTCTCACTCCTGATTGGCAGGGAAGCAATTATCATGGTTTTAAACATGGTGCCATTTTTGCCTCCCCACCACTGATTGGCCAAGGGGCCCTGGCAGCCCCACTGCTTGCTGCTGACTGGCAGGGAGGCAAAGATGGCACCATATTTAAAACCATGGTTTTCACTTCCCTGCCAATCAGGAGCAAGCCACAAGCAGGGCCCCTCCACCAGTCAGTGGCTGGGGGGGAGAGCGGGGGGGACAGACCTGCAAGATTAAAGGAGCTGCAGCACAGCCCACTTCTGCTGTGAATTCAGTAGGAGCCTAATTATAATTTATAGCAAAGCTCATTATAACTAAAAGTCTTAAAATACTTTTCTAATTTTTCAAATATTTTACTTGGTGTTGAAATCACTGTGTTTGTAGCAAACCCCCCAGTTTTTCTTTTTTTCTTTATTTTAAAAAGTTTTCCCTCCCCTTCCCCAACCATTTCTGACTTTTTCTCTCCCTCTATATTCCCCATAGATAAGTATAAATAAGCTAAGATGTAGGATAATCTTTAACATTTTATTGTAGGTAGTAAGTTTTATTTTTCTCTCCCCGCTTTGTAAATAAGTGCCCTGCTATTTTGATATAGATATCCACTGTTTTATAAGTGATGATTATTATGTTTGTATTGATTTTTAAATTTTTTTTACTGCTTTTATATTGTGTGATTACTGTTTTAGGCCTATATATATAAGTTAGCATAAGTCATGTCAAGTATCCATCTTGTAATGTCAAGCCTCTATCTTATCTCCATGCCCAGTTGTGTAACCCATGACTCACACCTACTCCTCCTATGTAACTTGGTTCCCGAATGAATGGGGATGAATAAGGTTGCTTGAGAGACAATGGCAGTAAGCTCCCTCTGAATGACCAAACTCTCAACACGAATACCTGGACCAATGACCCAGCCCTTGGAACCACCCTCAGCATTGAAGAAACAAACGATGAGGCAACCCACCATTGTGCCAAGGCTGCACATGCTCAGTAAGAACACCTGGAACCCTCTGGGACAGAACTGACCTTGCCTGGACAGGTCCTCCCCATAGGAGATCAGAGGTAGTCTGCCCTGTCGCAGGGGCACTTTGGTGCCCTGCTCCTATGAAGAGATACAGGTGCCGGTTGCCAGGGCAACTGCAGTTGGTCAGCTGACCGGAAGGGGGCAGAGCCTGAACTATATAAATGTAGTCCAGGCTGAGGCCAGAGGAGCAGTTCCCCTCCGGCAGCCGAGGAAGTAGGAGCTCTGCTGGGAGTAGGCAGAGCAGAGAAGCCCGATGGCCTGAACAGCTTATGGGTGAGGATACCGGGTGGAGGAAGCCCTGGTAGGGATTCGACTGATGATAAAGGGCCTGATGGTTTAGAGTTTGCATTTTAGCGAGGAGGCTTAGTTTTGAGTTATAGCCGATTGGCTTATGTTATTGCTTTGAGTTTAAAACCGGAGGACCGGGTGAGGCTATTAGGGGTTGGAGGAGGCCTCAGTGGGACTCCACGGCGGTGTGGGAACCCCGGTGCCAGGGAGGGCACAGTATTGAGGGGGCATTGACCCCAGCCCTGCGAAAGGGGCACGGTGGATTTAGGGGCCAGGCACAGCTACGGCCACCTGTGGGCAGCCTTGGGGAAGATGCTAAAAATGTACAGGTGTAACTGAACATAGCATTCAACCTGATGGGTCTTTGTTACTGAGCTCATATACCAAGATGTTGAGTGCCTTTAATCACTGAGAAGACTGAGATGTGCCTGTGAATTCAACTCTTTTATGCATGCAGTTATTTCAACTGCATATCATTTTAAATCCCAGTAGCTTTCTGTGTGCACAAATGCTGGGTTTGCGGCTATAATCATACATCTATGCAAGTAAAGAAAATAAGTGTCCAAAATTAAAGGAACCGCAGTACAGTGAAATATAGCTTGGATGAAAATTATTCACACAGAAGTGAAATTTAAGTTGAAAGTGTTCCTTTACAAATGTATGATGAGTTGAAGTTCTTTTTAAACCAACCAGTTTAAGAAAAATCTATTTTCTGATAGAGGTCTCTTTAAATAGTATGTTTTGAAATTAAAAAAAAAAATCTTTGCAAAAACACCATCTTCCTTTTCCTGCTCCATTACTAATGGCACTTGAAAGATCTTTGAAGCAGGTTTAAGGGCAATACTACTAAATATTTCAGGCTCACCCTTCCTCAGTTTCCTCTGTGTATCTGTCTGTCTTCTGCATTGCTGAAGCTGTTATAGGTGACTCCCTACTAGTGCAGTCATCAAGGGTGTGATGCCCTCTTCCTAGTACCCAAATTTGTGTAAATACCTTTACACAAATGCATATGGACCTTAGGCTTCAAATCTATCTGAATCAAGTCCTGGAAGACAAACATCTCCTCCTTCATGTATCTAAATATTTATTTCATTTGCACAATGATTCCTTTCTGTTTGCAAAACTGCTGTGAAATTACAGGACACTCATAAGTCTTTGGTTCCCCCTGCTGGTTTTTGGTTTTGTATATTTTCAGTTAGGAAATGACTGATTTTCAGGGGGCATTCCTCAGCTTTCCCAGAAAAATAAAATCCAATAAAATAACGTAACATGGCAGAAGACAAGATGAATTTGCAAAGAAATTTTGTTTAATGAGGTTTCATGGCAGGTGTCAAACTGCTTCCACAAGAAACAGTAAATATGTCCTTATAGTCCTTAGACCAACACAGCTACAACCAACACCCCTGAATCACGGACTGGTAATATTTGTATATATATCTTTTTTGGATAGTACTGTGGATGTACCTGATGTTGTTCAGGAGATTAGATATATTAAACATAAATTAACTCAAAGCTTAATCCAAATTCTACCTAAATCGATAAGAAAGACTTCTACTAAGTTCAGCGGGTTTTGGACACTTCTAGATCGTTAATCTAATGAGTTTTCAATCTAACCCAGATCTCTTACAAGCAGGGAGGGGGCATCAAGGATTTTACCACTGAACCACAACAGCAGGTTATGCAGGAAGGTGTATGTACAAGCATGCGTAAGAACCCTGGGGCAGAAAAGGTCTTTGCTCCTATGAAATCATATATTCTTACATGGTACTTATGCTAGTCCATTGCTTTAATGGGAATTGGGGGCAACTACATTTAGTCTGTTCTTCAGCTCCAAAAATACAGGCTCAAATTCTCCTGACAGTTATGTTCTAACTCCCTCAGAATACATATATAGATAGTGAAGAGAAGAGAACTCCTGGAATAGATGTTGGTGCCATAAGATAAAAAAACAGGCTGCACTGATTGAATGCAGCACATACTGGGCTGCCTAATTAGCTCCTCAGTAAAGTCTCCATGTCTACATGTGTGACCCTATTAGGCTGCAGTAAACCAATAAACTCCATCTTATGGTGGAGTTATTTACCATGCAGCAATGCACTTGTAGATGCTGACCTGGCTAGTTGGGCTGTGAGGTTGCTTCAGTGCAGGGTCTGCCTGCTGCCTAGCCCCACACTGGAGCACCCTGTGCCCCAACCAGCCCCTTTGCAGCACATTGAGTCAGATTGTAGCAGCCCTGGGCTAGCAGGCTGACAACCCCTGCCCACCCTGGCCTCCTGCCAACCAGGGCTGCTCTGACACAGCTCAATGTACTGCAGTCTTGGGTGCACATTCAAATGCAGCTCCCAGGAGCAATAAACTCCAGCACGGTATGTGCTAGAATTTGCTTTGAATTAATTGCACGTGTTGATGAGCCCACTGTCATGAAAGCCTTAATATCATCTCTGCATATCTAGCTGGGTTGAGCTTGTCACTGAAAACTGTGAACTGTAATGTAGTGGTGGTAAAGACAGGCAAGGTTCTTTGAGTAGATGTGATATCTTTTATTAGGCCAACTGAGTAGTTGGAAAATTGTTCTTAGCTAGCTTTTGGGTACAGTCACCCTTCTTCAGGCATAGGAAGTCTCTGATGGTCTGAGGCTCCAAGGAATGAGAGAAACTAAAAGTGTGGCAGGATGTCAGTGAGAATGTAAATAGGCAGAATTAGAAAGCCAAAAGGTAAAGCAGAGTAGGGGTGGGGAAGAGAGAAGAGGGGAAAAAGGCCAAAGGGAGACATTATAGTGGTAGACTGCAAGGTAGAAAAGAGGCTGTCTGTGAAAAAGGAAATAGTTGGAGATCCAGGAAACAGGAATGTTCCCGTAAAAGTGTGATAGGATATCAGGGAACATATATCCTTAGACCAGGCCATTCTATCCGGCCCACGGGACTCTTAAAACAATTAGAAAATATTTATCTGCTCCTGGCTGCCTGTCAAAGATGACAGGAGCCAGAGGCAGTTGTGTGTGTGTGTGTGTGTGCGCGCGCGCGTGCAGGGGCAGTGTGTGTGTGTGTGTGTGTGTGTGTGTGCAGGCAGAGGCAGTGTTTGTGCAGGTAAGGGTAGTGTGTTTGTGTGTGTGCAGGCAGGGGCAGAATGTGTGTGTGTTCATAGGGTGAGTCTAACACGCACACCCCACCATACACATGCACCCACACACCCACCTCGCACTGCCATACATGCATACCCACACACCCTCACACACCCAGCCACCCTCCCCCCACACACATCCCCCCACAAACCCCATACCCACCCACATCCTACGTATCCACAC